GTAAAAAAATATAATTCATCTTGTTGCATAAGCCTTAAAAGGGAGAAAGGGTGAAATTGCATTTGTTTGTTTACAAGCCAAAACCAAAAAAAAGAAGAAAGTTGTACATATACTAGTATTGTCATAGACTTCAGAAAAAAAATAGATTACAAATTTGAAAGTAGAAGCAGTTCGATTTAATTTTGATACTTAATACTGTGTAGTCTAGGTTAAAGAGCTGACACACTAGTCGTAGCCGGCTATTAAGTAATAAGTCTAGGACACGGCCATTGGGTTATTTTCTTAAAGGTGGTGTCCTAAATCTGGTTTAAATATTCGCAATATAAAAAAAACTTTATATAGTTTTTAAATTTTAATCTAATAGTATAATAATATTTTCATGAATTATTATGACACCTTTCTATTTTTATATTAAAAATACCTTTAGTTAAAGTTACGAATGTTTACAAATTTAATTTTTGATATTTAGGCCATAGCTAAAAAAAAAATCGCCTCGTTTTAAATTGGAATTGGCATTATGTTTATAAAGTTTACCAATTTGAACTTTTACCATTTGAATAATGTAGAGCATTCAAATTCTGAGTTTGAGTTTTGCATTGAGTATTTTATTTATTTTTTTTTAATATATAGCGCCCAATGGCATATAATGATACCTAGGTTTACGGTGCATTCATTAAAAGTGTGCACAATGAAAAACAGCTGGGGACGCCATTTTGATCAATCATTATTAAAAATTTTAAACGAGAGGCTAATTTATTCCTATGTGTGACGCAAACTTAATTAAGGAATTGTCTAATCATCGAAATAATAAGGAAGCAACATGAGATATGGGTTACCAAAATGGCGGGTCCAGCTGATTTGCATTCAACGGCGCTAACTAATACATTACTATGAATGCATCGTCAGTCTAGGTATTATTATATGTTACTGAAAACGCCATTGCTTTTATGTTGAAACTGTTTTTATTTTTCCGATATTTATTTTAAATTTAGATTAGAGAAATAATTAATTTTCTTTTAAAAAAAAATCAAAGCTTTTCCGTCATAACATGAAAATTTTTTTAAATAATACTGACCCCAACCCACCAATAGCATGTTAGTCATATATGTTTTACTACAAATCAGCTGGGGGTTCGTCATTTATTAGTTACCCATATAAACAACTAACATTTAAAAATGTTCAGTTTCATTTGTCAGTATAAAAAAAAATTATAAGAGAAAACAAAATGGTGTGTCATCAGCTGATTTATATTCAAACTAAACTTCAAAATAATGAATTAAACCTCAGTTTAGGTAAGTTTTATATGCCATTGACCCGAACATAAAATTAATTTTTAGCCCCGCGGACCTAACCTAAATATTTATTTGTTAAAAGTTTTAAAATATTTTTTTAAATACATATATATATATATTTTTATGGTATGTTAATATTAATATTTATATTTATATTCAAAAATTTATCTCATTTGTATAATCATTTTTTTAATATTTAATTTGAAAATAAAAATTGTATTTACATATTTTTTTATGAAGGGAGAAATTCTAATTATCATTATTATTTTGATAAATGAAAAGAAAGCACCAAGCACCATTTTTAAGACTTGCTGACCTTAGAAGTGCCAAAAAAAATTATTATCATTTTAAAATTAGGGCTTGGCCTAAAAAAAAATTAAAGGTAGCTGCAGGCTGAGCCGATTTAATAGAAAGAAAGAAAGAAAGAAAGAAAGTCAGTTATAATATCATATAATGGAGTTATAATATTTATTTACTGTTCATATTTTCAATTTTTCTTTTGAAATAATTTGCAGAATATAAGTCAAAATTATTTAAAATAACATAATTTTTTTTAAAAAATCGCCTGGCCCATAAAAGAATTAAAAGTTAAAATCCGAATGAGTCCAAAAAAAATCCCAGGGCCAATAATTCTGATCTCTGCAGTTCTCTAATATTACTTAACATTTTTTTTAGAAAATAGTAATCATATCACTTCCAATAAAATTATCGATTAGAATTAAATGTCACTTCAACACCAAAAAAATAATTGTTCCCCTAAACACTCCTATATATTTCCGTATTTTGAAAAATAATATTAAAAAAAAGAGTTGATTCAAAAGAAAACCATCTAATTAATACAAACTGTGCACTTTGAATCATTACACTTGCGTCAAATTATCATCTAAATTGACATTATGTTCAATTGACGGCTTTAAATTTTTCTTCTTTAAATTCTAGCTGCGACAAATTGTCATTGAACCAACCTATTTTTATTTCAACTAGTTAAATATGATTATAAAAAATCGCTTGCCTCTAGATGAAGACAATTATGAACTTTGATCTGAGCTTTTTAAAATATAAAAATAATAATTTTTATTACATTTGTATCTAACTTACCATTATAAATTATCTAATAAAATGTTTGAATCTTTTGTTTGTTGTTTCATATTAAATAAAATACAAAAATCAAATTATACGTTTTATACGAACATACCATGAATTGTATACGAATATTAATTATTCCATTCGATTTTGTGGTGATATAGGCAGCGTTTACATGAGCGGGGGAGGTTGGAACAGTTTGCATCCTATTTTTTTGAGGGGGGTAGGGAATAGGCTGTTTTAATGGGGATAGGATAAATTTTTTGGGGGGTTATCTATTATTGAGATGAAATAGGACAAGATTTATTGCTGTAAAAATAAATACTTTTATTATAGAATTATTATAATACAATTCATCGACTAAATCTATATATTGCAAACAATTATACACATTGTTTTCCAAATAAATCTTTCTGCTATTAAAAGGGTTTAGATATTTCAGCAAGCTCATAAAGCCATAATAATTAATTCATTGTAAATAATGGAGGTTTTAATTGAATTTATTATCTAAAAAATAAATTCTTTATATTCAGAAAATATCGATGGTAGTAGAAATAGATTAATTTAAGTTATCCTAGATAAATTCTCTGAAAAGAGTATCAATAAATTAAAAAGGTGAAAATAATAATAGAGAGACACCGCCGTCGAAGTCGATAAAATTTTTCAGAGGTATAGGCAAAGGTTGAAGGGGGTTTGCATCCAGTAAAAATCCTGTCATGTAGACGCTGGATATAGGGTAGGCAGCACGAGGTAGAAAATTGTAGGCAATACGCATGTAATTTACCCGCTTATCATTTTAAATTCTTACCACCATGGGAGTTTACCCTCTCTAAAGATACATTGAAACAAACTGCTTCTCTCTGCCCCTCTCCCCCCTTTCTTAGAGACACGTATAGATGGTAATTTTTTACATGTAATAAATTTACGATAAGATTAGAATTTTTAAATTTAGAAAACCTCTACCAATAATGACATATCTTTTTTTATGATTATGTCAAACTCAAGCGAATTATTTTTAATCACATAACCTGTCAGATTTAATAAATTGTTAAAAAAATGATTAAATTTGATTAAAAACCATTTCTAGTGATATATCTGTAAATTTTCCTATCCAGTGAATCCGTACATAACATAGCCTGGGGGGTTTCGCCTCCAAGCCCCTCTTTAACGGACCTGCTGCCCTTTTGCCCGAACTTCGGACGGGTTTACCTTAAAAATCATATTTGTTTTTCTTATAATATAAAAGTCCTAGAATTATTGATCATTTTAATTAGTGTTGTTAAACAGCTCAGATTTAAGCCAAATTTTATAAACAGCTAACTCAATATTTTAGCCAAAAAAATATTTCTCAAGCCTAGAGATTTCACGAATAATGTCTAAACTTTTGTATCGTCCATGAGCAAAATTTTCAAGCTTGCATAATTTTCTGGCTAATATATTGAGTTAGCCATATCGGCTCAAATTGAGCCATTAACACTCTGGGGGAACCATATCTTCGATTATATATAATAAATATATTTTTTAAATGCATCAATAATATGTTATTAAAATTTAGTAGATTACTCTCAATGACTTTATAATAATAATATCCAAAAAATTTCAATAGTAATATAATAACCATCCACAAACATCAAAACAAGAAAACTATAAATATTCATGGTATTTATTTGATATAAAGTCATTGAGCCTTTTGAACGTAAAATCTAAAATAATTTATCTCTGGGGGGAGACCCTCCGTAGCTACGCCACTGACCCTATCCCATATATCACAAATTAACCCTAATCCACATCATTTTAGCCTTTAATCCCACCATTTGTTTGATATATTCTATCCAATTAAAAATTTTCCCTAAGTTGCATATTCCAAGAGTTGGGTTATTTTTCTGTTTTATTGCTAATGAAAGATAATATGCTACAAATTTCCAGATTCTAGGAGTATGATGTGACCCTTCACCAACAGCAATATTTTATTTTCCTAAATGTTGTTATTACTATTAAATTTGATTCCTGTTATTTTTAAATTATAATGCATCATTCCTAAAAATACATCGGCATTTCCAAATGCCTATACTGCAAATATGATCACCTAGTTTTAACGTCTATTTATTTTTACTACTATATTCATTCACAATATAAATAAAAGCTAAGTTAAAATGATTCTACAAGATATTATTAAAAGGCTTCGTTTGACTATTTATTTTTATTACTATATACATTCACAATATAAATAAAAGCTAAGTTAAAATGATTCTACAAGATATTATTAAAAGGCTTCAGCCTTCAGCTTCGGTTAAAATTCATATTTGAGAAATTGTAATTAAAAATAATTAATATAAGTTTTTATTAATGATTTTCATTAGATATGCATTTAATAGTTTTTAATACATGAAATGTATAATATTCTATTGTTTAAAAATAATAAATATAATTTTAAATAAAACATAATAAAATCTTTTTTTTATTTATAAATTAAATGTTACATATGGAAACATATGGTTTTTACTATACTATCCCGCGTTTTTCGAAATTCACAAAGAATTATTTATTCCTAGTTTAATTTATAATTTTATCATGTATTAATATCTCGTATTTTAATGGATATTACAGTATTAGAATATATTCTGTATAGTATTAAATTAAATTTGTACACATGATACAACATTCCTTATGCTCAAACATAACGAAAGATTTTCAATAGGATTTACAGTGAATAAATATTTTTATATATATGTTAGAAACGAATTGATAATCACATATTATATTAAATTAATTAATTTGTCTAGAATATCAATCAAACTAACAAAGAAAATATTTCCAACAAATATAATGTAATTAAGGGATCCTGGTCTAAACAGGTAATTGAAGTTTCATATTAATCTTTAAATGAAATTCACTTTAATAAGAAATATTTAAAATCAATGATTGATTATTAATTCTCTATTATTGATAGTAGTAATCAAAATTCAAAATATTTACACAAATCCTTGTTCTAAATGATAATCAGAGTTATAAGCAATAGATTATATATATTGTGTTTGTTTAGTTTTCGTTAAATCAGCAATGTTAAAAAAATATTTACCAACTATTATATTTAATTTATATTAATTAAGTTGCATTATACTACTTAAATCATTCAAGTTATATTTATATACATACAGGCCTATAGCCAAGAAAATTTAGTTATAGGTGGGTTGGAATTTATTTGGGACCAGTATTTTTTGGGTTACTTATTATTATAAGCCATTAAAAACAAATGTTGTGGGCAAAATTTCTAAAAATGTACTACATATGCAGAATAAGACAGGTCCACCAGATACATATTATTTGTAAAAAGGAACCCATATTATTAGAAATATCCAAAAGATGTAAGATATTTGTATCTTTTGCCAAATAAGAGTATCAATATAGAATATTTTTATAAATCATTACCTATTAAATTAAAATGATTAAGAATAAATTAGTATTTTGTAATTTATTTACTAATAAGATATAAGTGTAGGATATAATTAGAGTAATGAGATTACCCAATTTAAAATTTTTATATATAAATATTAATAAAGCTAATTTTATAAAAAAAATGAATATTTAATATAATTTCTAAAATATTTCATATGATCATATTAAATATACTGATGTAGATTGTATTTAAAGTATTTTTTTTGGTCTGGCCTAGTTCTGTTTTTTGTTTTTGATAATTTTTTGGTCTGGCAGGAAATTCTTAAAATTTTGTTTGACTAATTTTGGCTCTTATTTTCATAAAATTTATTTTTTAAATGTGAAACTGAAAGTATATCAGTTAAGTCTATGGCCAAATTTTTTTTAAAAAAATTCTAAGAATTCAAAACTTTCACAAATTTTAATGAAATAATATATTAATTTATTATAAATTTATAAAATTTTCTAGAATTATGGTTTTTGGACATGTTTTTATTTTTATATTTAAAATAGCTAAATATTTATTTTCATTCAAGTTTCAAAAGTTTGTGAATTTAATTTTTTGATATTTTGGACACAGTCTAAACAAAATAACGCTAAAATTATATTATTTTCCAACTTAAATTAATTGATATAATTTTTTTTAAAAAAATATAAATTAAAATTGGCCAAGCTCAGATTTTTTATTTTAAAAAAAGCCATTTTTGGACGGGATTAGGGCTGAGTTTTACAGAATATTATATGAATAAACTATTATAAAATATTTTTTATATTTTAATCATGTAATAAATTTAAAATTTTTGTATATTAATTTTTTAGAACATTCTAGAACTGTTCAAGCATTTTTCCGGAAATTTATTGTTCTCGTTCGGTTCCTAGTTCCATTATTTTCCCTATGTTCTGTTCCCGGAACGTAACGTTTCATTCATACTGATTATATTTCTATTTTATTATTATACTCTACCTCTAAATTATTAAAATAATTTTCGTTATTCAAGTATTCTATAAACGGATTATAAAATTAATTTTCCATCATGTTTATATTTCTTTAATAGTTACAAAAAATAGATATTGGCGAAATATCTTGGTCATTGTTAGTTACCACTAGCAAAGATATTGTTGAACTGATCGGTATTTTATTTGTTTTTTTGTTTGAATCGGCAATGCCTCATAATATGATTATTATGTAATATATATATTTAAAAAATCGCCGTTTTCGGAGAGCTTCTGTGGCCTAGTAGGTAAATGCTTGAATCGCCATTCCCATCGTTCTGGGTTCGAATCCAGAAATGACCATGTTTTTTTTGAAGCAAACTTAGTGACTCCTTCTTAGTTAGGACAATAAATCGAAGGCTACAGCCGTGCCTATTCACAAATTTTTTTACCGATCCTATTATAATAAAGATCCGATACCGATAATTATATTGATTTTATTTACTACCTGTCTATCAATGTCATAAAAATATCAATATTTTCTATTTAAAAAAATTATTTTTATTTTTCTAATCTCCTAAAGTTAAATTCTCATTTAAAATTATTCGCAATGATTATGGGTGAATGCGTGTGTTGTTGTTAGACAGCTCCGTTTAGTCGATTTTTAAATGGGGGCTGAATTAGAACCCAGGCCTCTAAATTTCGCCAATAGAAGTCCAAACCGTTTCTGCCTTCCTTGGGAAAAATTAATAACCTTGAGTATGTTACTTTTAATTGGCTAATTCTAGCCGTTAAAGTGTTCGTTTTGTGATACATAAAAATGAAAATATAACATTGATTTTTTTTTGATTTTTTTTTATACAAATTTAATTTTTTTCTATACGATGATTAAGAAAATAAAGATTTTTACAAAAAATTTTGTTTATACAAGATGTACTTTTTCAATTTTGTACCCAAATATTTCAATATGTGGTGAGCCCTTATATTTGATGATGGGTAGGCCATGATGTTGATTATTTTATAGGCCCCTAATTCGGGAGACATTTCTTCGGTGTACATGAATTTTTATTGCATTTCACAAAATAATTAGTCGTTGTTTAGCAAATTATGTTTTTTTTTAAAAAAAATTGCTATATGTTGACTTTGCGGTAACTAATATTAACCTAATATCTTAGTTTTTATATGCTACTAAAATAAAATTAAAATATATGAATCGAATAAAATAAATCCCATTAGGTGGCCTTAAATATTTAAAATAAATTTGTTTTAACAAAAAAATATTTTCATAAATTGGTTTTTATAGATATTTTTTTAAGTTTGTTAATTTAAGACTATCATTTATTTATTTTTTTTGGAAAATTTTATATATATATCAAAGATCTGTAGAAGTATCATTTGAACTGCACTGCCCGGCCCAGATTTTTTTTTCAAAAATTTATTTCGGCCCGGCTCGGATTTTATATTTTCAGGGTCTGCCCGGATTTTTTTAAAAATATATTTTATTCATTTTTGATTTTTATAGCTAATAATGGCGATTTAAAACATTTGGTAAAGAATCCCCAAAAAATAAAAATTTATAAATAATCCTTATTTTCCACTGCGGATATTTGAATGACGTCATTACATCTTCCCTTCTCCTACCTAAGTTCTAGAAGGACCCCCCGAATATAAAAAGATAGAAAGGAAGATTTGACAGGGTTCAAAAATTTAGTCGATTTTTTAAAAATTATTCTAATGTAACAGACAAACGCCCAATTTCATACAACAAACAACGCAAAAAAAAATCCCAAAAATGATTTTTATTTTTTAAATTAAAGGTGGACCTCTTAATTACATTGACAAAAATAAAAGGTAACGCGGTATTTTTTTATATGTTATTCAATATATCACCACGCACACATGTCCTTTGTTATTATGTTAATTTTTTTATATTTTTATTATCAGCCGAAATGCGTTTAATTTAATATTAGTAATTATATATAAATATAATTATAAATCATAATTTGGGGGTTGAAACCTACCCCCACCCCAGCCCCTCCTCGGAAAAGGAAAAATTTGCTTTCATTTTCTCTTACATTGAAAAACTTATAATCCTTTCCTATATTTTTCTATTTCTTATAAAATCATCTCCACTCCAAAAATTATTTCCTTTTTATTTTAAAAAGGTGCGGCGAAAAAAAAATCCTAAAAAGTTACGAAATAAACTAAAGCACATTTAAATCTTCAATCGAAATTTCACACAAAATTTGTTAATAAATAATTTTTTTTTCGTTTCTAGCATTATGCCGAACTTTCACTATTTTGACAATAATACGGTTTTGAACCACTAAAATTTACTAAATATGCGCTAATTTGCATAAATTCCAGAGTTAATGCTTCCAGAAATTTGGCCGATTTCACGTTTAGAGTAATATTTTAGCTTATAATTCGGTTATTTTTTTGGTTGGCGAGAATTTATTGTAGAATTTATAAGTAAAGCGCTAACTATTAACTCAAACTATAGTATTCTCCGGTTCTGACAAGGTTTGGTCTAAAACTTCAGAATTAGTGGTTCCAAAAGCTTAGCTCACTTCACGGTTGAAGCGTGATATCATTGTTTTCATAACTAGATTTTTTTATTTCTTCTACCATTATTTGCATCATGCCACTTTTATATTCTCCACCAAACGGATTATAAATAATATACAATTAATCGCCGATACATCGATACATTTTTTATTAGAATAAATGCTTTCCTTTTTAAATGGTTAGGTTTGCCGAATTTTGTTGCTAATAATTTATCTCCTTTAGATTAAAGCACCGAACATTATAGAATCGAGCTTCCAAGTGATTGTTCAGTTCAACGTTATCGGTGATGTTGTAAAAAAAAATATTACATAGTATTTTTAACAAGCAAATAAAAATAACCACGGGGAAAATCAAAAATACCTTTTCACAATTTTTTGTTTACGGGAACCGAGCTAAGAGACCCCAAATTTTTTTTATAACCCCATCGCCCCCCCCTTTGCTTATTGGATAAATTATGGCTACATAACTGAATAAAATGTTGTTAGTACAAACGAATATTTTGAAATAGTTTTTTTCTTATATTTTGTATAATTATTTTAATAAAAAAAGGATAGGGATTGAATAACATGTGTTCACCAAACAATTAGTCGACCGATCAGAAATAGCCTAAATCCTAAAAATGTTATCTAAAATGTCTTAAGCGATGTCCTAGCGGACAATTTTTTATTCAAATAATTTCAGGGCTTCAAATCTGTCAATTTTATGTACATATTTATACTTCGTTCGGATTTATTTATCCTATTTGATTCATGGCTTGTATCAGGTTTTCGGTTTTAAAACTATCGGTACGAAATTGCTTTCAGAAATGTCAATCAATTTTCTTCGAATATCGATCAAAATTTTTGGAACCCCATTAGTCAAATTAGAGTATCTCGCAAAAATTCTGCACCTATTCTCGCTTTAGAGGGTAATGGGAATCTTAACGGGAGCATTGATGGAAAAACGGGAATGAATGGGACGAGGCATTCGTTGACCGGTAATGGGTTGATCGGGGGAATCGATTCCTATAATTTATCCAACAATCACCTTAAAAATGAGTTCAAAAATTATAATGGTTCAAATTAAGTTATCCAACGAAACTCCGACTTTAAGATTATCTCATTTACTTAGCTTAATTTTTGAACGATGATTCCTCACACACCTGGAAAAATTTTTCGCAAAACAACAACCAAATAACAAAATTATTATTATTTTTTTTTGTCAGAAAAAAAATAAATTAAGAGGCAGGGCCAATGCCCACATTTTATAACCAAGAAAAAAAACGTGAATAAATTGTTTATATTTCAAATTGTAGTAACTCAATATTTTTAGTCATAGAAATATTTCGTTAATAGATGTTCAAACCTTTGTGTCCAACCTATGAGCGAAATCTTAATTGCTTGCATAATATTTTTCCTAATGAAATATTGAGTTTAGCCTAATTTTTAAAAATCTGCAGCCCGTATAAAAAGATCGATTTTTTTTAAAAAAAAACTAATATTACTTAAGTCTCTAGATTTGGTAAAATAGATATCCAAACCTTTCTGTTATCTATAGGCGAAATTTCTACAGGGCTTACGTAGTATTTTTTAGCTAAAATCTTAATCGGGACCGCTTTTTAAGATCGGAACAACGCTAAGTGTTTAAACAATCTACATATTTTTGAAAGTTCAAAAAAAATTTTTTGAAAAGGGTGATTTATAAATTATTTTTTATTACATTTATATATATTTAAATTTCTCTAACCTGTTATACTCATAGTTTATTTGTTGATTATAAATTTTTAAACACTTCATTTAATTATTACCATGGTAAGTTTTTTATTTTTTTGAACTCGGCTAACCTTGCCTTATTTACTTATCTTTCTAAAAAACATTTTCGTTTTTTATTATTTTGTCCGTGGACAGATTTATTTTTAAAAGGTGGTGGGACTTTCATTGTTTTTTTTATTATTATTTCGCAATTTTATTCATCTCACCTGTAAAATAAAATGTGAAATATAATTTAATAAAAATAAAATAAACATGGATATATAATATATATTATATTATATTTTTTATTGACTATTAAATTTTATATTATTTATTATATATATTTTAGACGATAAAAGTGACTTTAATATACAATTTTTTTTTATAAGCGTTTTCTGTATATCGGCCCGTCCTAGCTTACTTTTTAAAACGCAATTTTTTTTTTTGCGTTTTTGAAAATCTTCTTTATGTCACACAAACAAAAAAAAGGTAGTAAAAAAATAAATAAACGTTATTAGGACGGCCTTTAATAGAACACTTAATATTATTTTATGGTCAGACATTATGTTATAATAAACAAGGATTAAAAATTAGGAAATTTTGAGTTAGATAAATTTAAGAAAGGAATGGTATAACACTATAAATGCGAATAAGGTATTTAAATTTAATCTGATTTCTATGTTGCGTAAACATTTAATTACTACGATGCTATTCGATCAGTGTAGAGTAGTGTTGTTAAACGGCTCATTTTGAGCCGATTTTTAAAACCGCCTATTTATCCAGAAAAATATTACGCAAGCCTGAAGATTTTGCTCAGAGATGGAACAAACGTCTAGACATCTATTAGCGAAATCTGGAGGCTTCAGCAATTTTTGGCTAAATGTAGAGTTAGCCATTTTTCAAAAGGGGCTCAAAACGCCCTTTTAAAGACACTAGTGTAGAGTATACATTTTTTTAAATAATAGACCATAATGTTAAGCAACTATCATAATCTAATCGTATATAAATACTGATGTTATATTAAAGTTAACAGCCACATAAAAAAACAATAAGGGTGAATTTATAAAAATTAGCGCATCTTGAGTAGTGTTGTTAAACGCTCATTTAAAACGGCTAACTCAATATTTTAGCCAGAAAAATATTGCCTAAGCCGCGTGATTTCGTTGATATATGTCTAGAACTTTGTTCCTTCTATGAGCAAAATCTTCAGGCTTGCGTAGTATTTTTCTGGATAAAATATTGAGTTAGACGTTTTTAAAAATCGTCTCAAAACGTTTAACAACAATAATCTTGAGTGGGCCTACTATAGGTATTTCGTAAATTTTAATTATTCTTTACCTTGGTTGTCGACTATTTTTTAAAAATTTGTAATTCCTTATAAGACGATATTTATTAAAATGTCTCCTTTTTGCTCGGAAAGTTCTTTTTACAATGGAGTGGGCAAACCTTAATATTTTTTACATCTTTAATCAGACAAAACATTTTAACCGTTTTACCCATGGCCGCTTTACCCATGATATTTATCACATAAATCGCTATCGCGTGACTTATAGTTAAACTTATACACTTTCAATAACTTTTATTTTTGTAGCCTAAGACTTTTAGGAACGCGTGTACAAAATTTTAAATAATTGCTAATATAAATAAATAGATTTTGCTAAAAGCTAAAAAAATATTTTTTTTGAATTAATTCACTGGTAAAATATACGGTTTTTTAAGAAAATATATTCAAACCAAAAACATATGGTCCTTATACTCTAAGGCTAAAAATTTATTCGCTTTTACATTGTTGCCCATATCAATCGTTTTACCTCTGTTATTTTTTTTTAAAAAAAACTGATGAAATATCGCTTTATTATGGCATTTAAGTTTGAAGAATGTATTATGATCTAAAGCTTATAATGGATAGTATATAATCGAGCTGAGTCAGCTGGCACTTTATTAAATAAAATTTTTCTGTACATTTGGACAATTAAATTTTTTTGGAACGATTTTATTGTCATTTATTTATTCTATAAATAGAATATATAATTCGTAGTTAATTGAGAGAAGCTTTAAAAATGAAATATTTATCTATTTTTTTATACTGGGAAATGAAATAATCATAATTAGATATTTCGTACGATATGCCTTTATATATATTTTTTTTTAAAAAATGTCAATTGTTAGTGCCAGGTGACCTTTAAAATAAAAATTTCAATTGACAATCTTATTTCGTATTTTGTAAACTTATAAATGGTTATATAATATTTATTTTATGTCGCATTTTACGAAGGAAAAATGTTTTTTTAAATCAATATTAATGCTAAATATAGACAAACCGGGTTCGATCATTTTGCGGTTCGGTTTTAAAATAATTATATAAGAAAAACCGGGCATTTCGGGGAAAAATCCGGGTTGAGCTCAAAGAATAAGAGCCAGAGGGTTGTAAAAAAAATTTCCGCATTTCGGACTTGGTTTGCAAGTCGCGAATATGATAGGAGTAGAAAGCGAGGAAGGGAGGAAATAAATGTTTTGTCCAAAGACTTGTTGGTGGTCGATATTTTTCGACCTGGCCCCGATTTAATATTTCCAATTTCAAGCTAATTACCGGGTATTTTCATCGTGAAGCCCGACCCGAAAAATATTAATTTTGATCATGGCATCTGTTATTTATTTTTGTTATTTTAGATATCTTTTGGCCACATTTTTATAAAAAATCGTTTCAAAGAAGTAATTATGGAAAATAATGTTAAAAGGTTCATTATATAATTTTTCAAATAAGACCCAGGCTAGTTCGGTCCGCTCCGTCGGGCCTACAGGTCTTTGGAAATATATAGAGAATTTTTTTTTATTTTAAATAATCAAATTTATACAGCAGAATTTAAAACTAGTAAATTTTCCTTTTTTTTCTAGGAAGATGAAGCTATTATCAGATTGGTGAAGCAACACGGTCCTACTAAATGGTCAAGAATAGCTAAAAGTTTGGGTGGAAGAATGGGCAAGCAATGCAGGGAACGGTAAAATTTTTTTAGCACTATTTTTTAGTGGCCAAATTAAAACGCCGAAACTTGGTTTTTAGCTGCTAAAAATTAGATCGCTCAAATAAATGGTGAAATCTAGTTTTTATAGCCGCTAAAAACTGGATGACCAAAAAAAATCGACTAAACCTTCTTTTTTAACCAAAAACTAATCATTTCAACATCGAGCTAAACTTTGAATAAATCTTATATACATCAATATTATCGAGGATAATTCAGGTACGCGCCCTGTAGATCGAGCCGATTTATCAGTTTTTTAGCCACCATATATTATATACATTTATATACCCCCAAAAAACGATATATTTGCTACAAACAATGATATTAATACCAACATCTGAAACTGACTAATTATACATTAAACATTTAAAAAGTGTAAATGGATTGAAGTTCTACCATTGGAAGGCATTTAGAAATATCTTCGATGGCGTCTACTACGGCCATTGACATTGGCTACAGCTGACTTTCAATGCATGTACACTTTAAATAAAATGACTATGAGAAATCAATACGGCATGCCACCAGCTAATTTGTATTTTTACACATTTAAATGAGTGACCCGTGTCTAGGTATGATTATATATGTCATTCGGTTTGACACGGACTAAGGTCATGATTGGATTTTTTTGCTTATATTTTGTGGATCCTTTTGATATAATTAATTTTTTTAAAAAATTTTTTTTACAATAAAATCATTAAAAAAAAACTCCAGGTGGCCAATGTCTAATATAATTTCTATTTTTTTAAAAATTTATTTGTGTTTTTCAGAATATTTTGATTTTAAATAGCACGCGATCAGATCACCTTCACCATACACGCATCAAAAAAATAATAATTAAAATATGATAATAAAAAAAAAAAATTAAGTTCCATAAAAGGATTTCGAATATATAAATGAAAGTGTAGGTTAGGTCAACGGTCCAGTCCTACCGGTCTTTAGGTCCGAATCGGTCTTTCAATTTTTCCGGTTCGGGCCGCTTTTTTAAATTAATATATTAAGTTTGCCTTACTATTCAATTCGTATAATTTTTTTTGTCAAATTTATGTGCAATTTTATTTTATATTTATTATTTTTCTAAAGGAATTTTTTTATAGATTTTTCTTTTCTACTAAATGGAAACGAAAAGTTTGTCGAAAAAAAAGGAATTTTACTTTTAAATTAAATAGAATGACAAAAAACAAAGAATAAAAATTTTGGAAAATAAGAAAATAAAATTTGTTAAAGTACCGGTTCAGTCTGGACCGGTATTTTTCTGAGGACTTAGTTCGGTCTGCGCGTATCGGTCCGGACCGAAGATCGGACCATGACCTTCACTAGATTTCGCTATCGCGCACTTTATTTCTCGTTTTACCTTCTTCAAGGATATCGGATTTTGATCGAATTATAAAATGAAAATAAATATTTAAAAAAAGCTGGCACAACCATTTGAATCCCTCTATTAAAAAGACCGGATGGACCCCAGAAGAGGATACGATAATTTACAATGCCCGAAAAATAATGGGGAACAAATGGGCTCAGATAGCCAAACTACTGCCAGGCAGGTTCGTATAATATTAAATATTTCCATGAATAATTACAACCACGTGTTAAAATTAAATTAATGAGATGATCATATTTAAAGTTATTAGAGTCTTGAAATGGTCATTTTAGTAGGCCAATCGAAGCTTTCCAATGCCTACTTTAAAACCATTTTAGGTATTATCAATTAGAGGTCGACCCTGTCAAGATAATCATCTGGGCCTATAACATTTTTTGTAGGCTAGGCCGGAAGTTTGCCAATTTATGTCTTTTCCCTTCATAATATGGGCGGTCCAAACAAACCTTTTCATAAAATTTCCGCGGGCTCGTTTGGACTGGGTCATGTTGACCTCAAGTTTGAATAAAGTTCACAGGAAACTTAATACAATATTATAATATAAATTCGAATTCGAATATTTAATGTTTTTTTTATATTAAGAACGGATAACGGTATCAAAAATCATTGGAATGCCACTCTCAAGAAAAAATATGGAGACCCGTTTATTTTGACCACTCAATCGGATGAAAATATCGATGGCTTACACAATGTTTACTTTAAAAAAATATATATATGTTAGCAATAATGTGCTATATTTTTCGACTTTGAATCATTTTTTGATCGCGTTATTTTTCTAATACTTGAAAATCTGATTTTATGTATTCCATCATGTTTGGAATACATACCCCTATAAATTCCTCAAGCAATTTTGCCGTTGACCTTTGAGTCATTAATAAATTTAAGTTAAATACAAATTTAAATTATAATTAAGGGCAAGGGTTGTTAAAAACCCTGATTTTTTGAACGACCCGATTAAAATTTTAACTATAATAGTATTATGTAAACCTGGAGATTATGTTCGCTGGTGGCAGAAAAATTTTGACCTCCATTTGCCGAATCTTGAAGCTCACATAATATTATCATGGTAAAAATCTTAAATTTGAACTTTTTAACAACACCGGGCAAAACTTTCTAATAAATCACAAAGTAGGTTGTTCCGAACATGCTGCTATACATTTCTGATAAAATCAAAGTTGGAATGTTGGAATAATGAACACATTGACGCTAACATACTAAATATTATCAATAATATACAGTACAGAAAATTAGAATTAGATATTCCCTAAATTATATACTTTATTAAGAAAGATCTCAGGGAACCTGACAATAATTCCCTTTTTATTCCAATCTTGTGTCGGGCAAAAATCCGTGTGTGGCTGATAAAATCTTAAATTTTTTTCAAAATTGGATCGAATTCTAAATATTTCGGATTTAATTTCCCCCGAAAAAAAACTGTGACAGATCGGTTGGACATAAAAATTTTCTCTTTTAGGGCCAAAACCGGACCGAAGGAATCGGATTAATTTTGAAGCCACACCCGAATTACTGTAATAACATGATAAAAATGAATCCATTTTTTTTGGATTTGCCTGAAAGAGTTACTTTGATCGATATGACATATAATGTCGTACTCAAATCAGCTGGATTCGCCATTTTGGTAACACTTATAATAATTATTCTCATGTTGAAAACTACTATTAAATTGATAACTTGCTCCCTTTTTTTTCGATGATAGTTTGCCTCAGTCATAGTAAGTTGGCCTCTCGTTTAGAATTTCTAATAATGATAAGGGTAATCAAAATGGCGTCCCCAGCTGTTTTCATTGATGTACACTTTTAATGAATGCATCGTCAGTTTAGATATTATTATATATATCTTATGTTATTGTTAATGTCAAGTCGGAAAACAAAATTTGAAATATATTTGTAATATTCAGAAATCAAATCAGGTAGACAGCAATGCAAAAAGATTTCCGCTGCAATTAATATCTGGCACAAACTGCAACAAAATTATTGGCAATTCGACTTCTTCAAGCAGTAATGACCTTAGATAATCTTATCTTTTCTGTATTTTAACTTTGAAATAGAGAAAGAAAAGAAAGAAAAATGTAAGATAATAGAGAAATGAAATAAAGAGAGATATAAAGGATATGACCAATTTATGCTCCTCTATTTTTAAATATAATTTATAATTTTAACCAAAATGGTTATATCTCATAAATTATCAATAAAATAGATGTTAAAATACCGTATAGCTACAATTGCTCTACTAGAACTCTAAATCTTTCTTCCTTTACAAACACGCAGCAGCGCATAAATAACTTTAAACCAGCACTATCCACCTGTCTTAGCAGAGATGCCAATAACAATATCTGCCATTTAAACGATATCTCTAAACTCACAACAAATAATGATAATAAATTAGCGGACACAAACTGCCCAGATTACAACGCTAAAACATATATAATTAAAACATCGGAGGAACCCAATCTACCAAGAGGATTAAAAAGATCTTCGGGGGTTTTAACGTCAAATAATTCTATTAATTCTTACGTCAATCACACGTCAATCCCCTTCGCCACGACCGATAACTACTACAGTACTCACGATACCCATGGTAGATTTTACCTCGACGGAGGAATGAAAGAAAATCTTTGCCCTCAAAAATTTCCCATACAAATGATGGAGGTTAATGTAAAGAAGCCTTCTTCGCCTCTTATCGCTACCAATTTGCACGGATCTTCAGATAATTCGGTCAGCCAAGGCTCGAATAATGAGAAGTACCCTTAAAAAGATTATTTTATTTTTTTTGCGTCCCATTTATTTTAAAGGGAGAGGGGGTCAAAAAAAAATAATCACATAATATTTTTAAAATAATTTTAGGGGGGGGGGATATAAATATATGCCAGTAGAGTCATTCCTTTATGGTTGAGATTCGACTCTAAGACAAATTAAGAGAACGAGAAAGTGACGAAGGGAATGAAGTGAATCTTGTAAAATATTTTTTTTTGTTAGTTTGTGTTTGTGATTCACACTTTTGTGTAATGTATCATTTGAAATAGATTTTTTTAAAAAAAATATCGATTTTTTTATATTTAAAATGGCTGGGGAGAGGGTATGTCAGAAGAAAAAAATTGAATTTTAAAGTTTAATTTGATTACTAATTTACGCATTACTTTTTATTATCTGGATTTCGCAGACAAAACTTGGAAAAATCATTGACTTTTGACAACGTTACTCCCATAAAACAGGGGTTTAATTTCAAACCAATCACGTCATCTTCTAGTATACACATATTACATTCTATTCTTGAGGGGGGGGGGGGTGTATCAATTTAATTTAAATAACGAAATTATGAATTATTTTTGTGTTCAAATTAAAAATGTTATTGATTTTAAAAAAAATTACCTAAAATCAATATACGAACTCATACTAGTCTGAGAGAGTCTCCTCTCTATTTCAATCTAAATTTATAGACAAATTTAAGATAAGCTGTTTTTATTTAAGGTATACATATATATTTTTTTTATATATTAATAAGTATCATTCATTTATGCTTAAAAATTACTTTAATAGCCATCTACAAATTTAACAAGCACGGTATATCTAGATCTCAACCATTCTCTCCCAGCCAGAACAAACTTTATCAAGCTTCAACTTCCTTGAATAAAGTAATTGTAATTCCACTAGAGAAATGGAAGAATGAGTATATCCTTCATTCAAAACTCATGTTAACCTTTTTGCGTTATCATTTTAACTTCGCAAAATGACACTGTTAATTTACTCTTTGACTAAAAATATAAATAAATTTATTTACTTTTTTTCAGGATTTGGCATCCTTATCCAGATTGACTCCCATAAAGGCGTTGCCATTTTCTCCTTCAAACTTCCTTAATACCTCCCCTCTTCCTTATCATCAGCATCATACTATGTTTGATCAACATCGTCAAAACTCTGGTGGTGGGTATATGAAGATTACAAATTTTTCATCGGATGTCACACTCACAGGTATTGTTTATTTTCTTTAATAAAAAAAATTCGCCATCTTTTTAGAAAAAGAAATTGACAATTTTTTTTGCCAACCTTAACAACCCCCCCCCCCCCAATAATGTTAGGTAAAGTGTACGGCTAAAATCAGTAAATTCGGCTCCATCTGCTGGCATATGCCTTTAAAATTAATTGGCATGATTTAATATTTTTTCACTTTCTATTAGGTTGAGCTATTTTTAAAGTTTAGGTGATAATTTTCGGCTAACATTTTAACCTTTTTTGGAATTGGTTAAAAATGGAGCTATTGCTCAAACATACTGCTGAATCCTGATTAATATTTCTCTCATATTATTTTGTATATTTACATTTGCTAAACTTCTTACTAGATAATCACAATTCTACTACGCTGCCCAAAAATCAGAGTTCTAAATTGAATCACAATATAACTCCTCATGAAACATCATCATATCCTTCGTGCGCCTTAAACTTAAACTACACACTTTCTTCCCCTTTGATCTCGAATGTCGTTGAATTCAGTGGCGCAAAACATTCTACACCCTACGAATCTACCAAATGTTCCATATCCCCTTTCCAATTTGCAAACTATTTTATCAGGGAACAATCTGTTTTCGAAGCAGTCAATAACGAAGATGTTAGTATCAAGGACAACGAAAACTCCATACTCTTTGACTCCGGGCTAGAACTAGCAAACGATTATACAAATAGGCAGTCACGGCTTTCTTCTATGACATCATCTTATAACCCGACGACTACCGCCCATAAATTGAGCAGAGCCAGCAAACCAAATTGTACCGAAGAAAGTTTTGATTTATCTAATGAGAGCCTCGGCATCATCCATAACACTGCTAGCCTTAAGACTCCCAAAACGCCCACGCCCCTCAAATTAGCTTTCGCGTCAATGGAAGCCAAAAATAGGCGGTCCTCATATCTCTACGATAACACCATAAATGTATTTTTAATATGATCAATATCATTATTTATATGGCGATCATCAGTCATTTCCCCGTATATAATGAATGCTCAATGTTGTCCATTCCTCTTAATATATCTATTCATATTTTAAAATAATCAAAAATACTAAATGCACAGTCCTTTTAATATTCTTATCCATATTCTCACATTTGACCTTTTTTTAAAATCACTAATTATGATTTTTATGGTATCCTGGATACCCTCCCCCCCCCCTTAATTTATGCCTCAATTATAATAAACGCGATTTGCCCAAGCGAGAAATTAATTGCGTGTAATTAACAAAAGCACGCCAATAGGTATAATTTATTAATACAAGAAGCGAAATAATGAAATCGCAACCGCTATTTACGTATATTTCAAAAGTATTATAGCCGTCAGTCTATCTATTAATTTAGCATCCCTTGAGTAAATCTTACCCTGCATTCACAATTATCTTTAATTCTCTGTGACAAATTGATGTAAAATTATTATATTTATATATTTTTTATACTTGGAAAATTCGATTTAACTATGAATGCACTGTTAGGTGTATATAATTGAACCTCTAGATCATGGGAATACATCCAAAAACCAGGAATGCCTATTACCAGGAAATTTATGTTGTGTAAATATTTTTCTTCCTCTAGAAAAGATTGGGATTGAGAGTAACAGTTATGTTGGGACAGGGTTATGTTATTAAAAATAAGTGTTATTGCATTTAAAAAAATAAATAAAACGTGTTTACCTGACCACAGAACACTTTAGACGAAATATGCGAATTCGTGAACCTAAGTGAATTCTACGGGAATGCAGACAACGAATCAGTAACTTCCAAGGAAAATTTGAACGAAAGCCGTTCACCTTCTACCTCGACACCCCCTACACCTTATGCGGTAAGTATAAGAAAGAATGATTTACATTTCATTCGTGTAAAAATAATTTTTAAAATCAATTACATAGGTGTTTTTATATATTAATACAGTGTCAATTTTTTTAGAGACTGATAACAAGAGATAGTAAATAAATTTATAGAATATTATTGTGCCATACTTTTTATAATTCAATGCCAGATAAAATGAAATAGTAGTTGGGGTAGATATGAATGTAAATTAAAATTTACCAATATAGAAAATTTGAGTATTTTATTTAATTTGGTTGAAATCGTCTGTATGAACAAATGTATGAATGGGAAATAATTGTAAAAAGCAGACGATAAATTTTTAAATATTATTATTTCGTTCAAGAGATATGCTTTGTCATTTAGTGACCCTTTTCCATGTTTATCTGGGCATCTCATTTTCGTTAAAATCTCATTCCTCGATTTTATGTGGTTTTGGGAATCCCCCCAGGTCAAATCTAATGTAATGTCATCATCTAGCACTTCAGCTTGTCTTTGGTCGCCCTTCCATTCAAGATATCCAGACCATCTCAGTCTATTTATTCCTAAGACATCACTTATTGCTACCTTCCTTTCTCTCAGTTCCTAGCTTATTTTTATTTCTCTCAGATATATCTGCATATCCATCTGATCATTTCCCTCTCCGTTCTTTCTAACTTAGTTTCGTGAGTCGCTTTAATTATCCATATTAAGGCGATACAGCATGCAACATCTGACCCATCCTACATAAACTTTCCTTTGAATAGAGGGAAATTTTTATTAGTTAAAATGGAAGACATCTCTCTAAATTTCTTCCATGCATATCTCATCCTTACCCCCACTGCCAAGTTAACACTTCCATCATTGCTAAAGTGTATCGCATAGGTACCAGAACTTGATACTTTATCCAAATTTATACAATTTCCAATAAAAAATCAGTCATATTACAATCATCTTGCACCCCTTTCACAACCTTTCTACAAACAAACGTTGCGCTTGCCTTCTACAGGCTTCCCTTTAAACCACTACACCTATTATAAATTTATTTACGACAGCAGGTACAACTTGTTGGAGCTTCTAGCAAAGCCTTTCCCACTTACACCACATGGCCACTTGCCTGTAACCTCTACTATTCTAAACCTTCTCGCCTTCTTCTTTTCTATATTCATTTTTAATCCCTTCTCTCTAACCATTATCCGAATTCAGTCTTACTTTTTTTTACCTGATTCACCCATTTTGTAACCCCACGCGGCACTCGGTCAAATTCCTTCTCCAGATCTATGAATGCTTAATAAAACAACTTTCCCTTCTCTTGGTATCTTTATCACACTTGCCTTACGACAAAATTAGCGTGAGTAGTACCCTATCTCAAGTGTAAAACCGCATGAACATTCGTGTTCAATAGGTCCCTAATCCTCCTCTAACATTCACTCGAATACCTGAGAAGATATAATATTGGATAATTTAAAATTTCATAATATATTTTCCCCATTTTTAAAAAAAAAACAATTTTAAAGGTTAATATATCTTTCAAAACACCACTGAGACATGATAAATGGCTTTTGAATGACACAACGAAAAATGATAAACCGTCACCTATAGAAAATCAGAATAACGGTAGATTCAAACATTTCAAAAAAGTACAGCGTTCAGGTAATAATGGTGGTTACTTTACCTCTAGCCATAAAAAATCGGAAAATCGAATTCCTCGTCCCACGTTCGGTGTTAATGATCCGGAATTCGAAACGCCGGTACGAATAGACTTATTGTTAGTTTGGGGATTATTTTTGATTGAGGATAAGGATATGCAAGAAGCGTTTGGAGTGCATATTGTTAAAAAAAAATTAGGACATTCACGTACCTATATTATTTAATTTTCCGATCCAATTCGACAAAATGGCGTCTTAAAATAATTTTTTTAATATTTAAGGAAATTTATATTTATGTATGAATTGAAAAATTATAAGGATATGATCTTTGAAGAAATTTTTTTTTAACAATTTACATTAATCCATGGATCTATATTTTTATACTTTCACATTATGAATATAACTGAATGAATATGCTTAAGATAGTATATTTTAAGTGACTTATGTTCAAGTTTTGGTATAATATAATTATTCTATAGCGAATAAAATCCGATTAGGGATATCAGATCGGTAATCGATTTAATATCGGACCGACCTCCAAAAAGTGGTAATGATACACCTCTAGGAAAAATAGAGCGTGATTTGGATATTTTGAGCTATTTCTTTTATTTTTTCACATTGATTTTTTTTTAATTATCGTCTTCTTCCTATTTGCATTATTTCCGAATAATTTGCATATTATTTGAAACTAAAACTATCTTGTGTAATTATGAACACTATCAAACGCTCAATTTCTTAAACATGAAAACGCTATGTTATCGCCTTAGCCTAAAAAGAAAGAAGTATTTTGTAAAGAAATTACAACTTCTTAATCTTATAACAATATTATATAAGTGTAGTCTTTATACTTAATAAATTATCCTGATATAAGAAAAGGACAATGATTGCTAAGATATTTATATGAAATGATTACAGACTTTTTTTTAATGCATGATTATAACCCTTTAATTCCATGAGTAATAAAAAATTCTATTTATTATGCATAATATTAAAAGAGCAAATCTTTACGCAACGACGAGTTATCCAGTCTATTCTCACTTGCCACCCCTTACTCAAACAATACACCGTTCAATAATAGAACCAATAACCGAATAATTTCCGACCTCGCTTACGCCAATGCAAAATATGGAACAGTAGATTCGATCCCCCAAGACGACTATTTAATCGATATGGCTAATAACAAGCGTTACGAACATTTATTGAAAATTGAGTTCGAGGACATTTTAGAGCACATAAAACACGTTTTTCAAGTTTTTTTTATTAATAAAGACGTATATTTATAGTAAATATACCTTCATTAAAGTCCAACTTACCCCGGTAGTGTCGAGAACTATAAATATTATAATAAAAATAATTAAATAGTAATTAAGGAAATATAAATCTCATATATAATTGAGAATTGATGATTTTAATTAATAAACATTATGATGAGTAAAAGTAAATAAATCTAAAGTTTATGTAATAATTATTCTACCTTCCTCACCATATTAGACTCAATTTTGAAAGTAACTTAATATTTATTTATAAATCCAAGGCATCGATACTTTTAATTTTAACCAATACATAAAATAATAATTAACCCTTATAAATTTTTTTTTGGTATATTAAGCAATGAATTTATAAGCAAAAAAAATCGATCTACAAATTAACAAATAAGGAAGAAGAAAGAAATGGTTTTAAAAGTAAAAATATTAGGCTGTATTAGTGTATATTTTAATGTCTAATATTTTTATTTTTTTTTAAAACTAATAACGATCATAATACCGATATTTAATAATAAAGAAAGCTTTGTTAATTTCTTTTCCCTGGTGGAATTATTAACTTTATTTGGAAGAATAAAACATACGAGAAAAATAAATTATGAATTAATAAGCTTTATTTAAAAAAAAATCAAAGGTATTAATTATGGATTTAAAAATAAAATATCGAAAAATATTTTTGTGAATGAAGACTAGGAAATCATTTTTTTCTTCCCTTCAAATTTTCAAATAAATTTGAGTTTTTATTATACTTCATTTGAAGAAAACTTAAAAATGGTCTCTGTGTTAAAATTAAAAGTAAAGATATGACAAGTGTCAAGTATTTTCTAATATATTACGTATATAAGCTGCGATTATAAATACGCTATTTCGTATTGTACAGAAGAATACTTATTTTATATTATACAAAAAAATAAGAAAAAGCATAAACCTTATCAAGAAATTTCTCCAAGCAATCAGCTTTCAGCAACCCACGTGACATGCCAGGAAAATAACGCGAACAGCGGTATCGATCGCGAATCCGGATCTACGCCAAACAAACCTTTCTGCTACTCAAATTGGAAGGCGATCGCGTTCGGAATGACCGCCGACCATTGCGATATGTTTGCGAGGGCCGAAAAATATTTATCGAAAATGAAATGTCAAAGGATCTTGGCTTTGTGAAATATTTGTACTTTAATTTTTATTATTAAAATGGAGGTATATTGATCTCAAAATTACGCGAAATCAAGATTCGTCAGCGTTTTTTAAAATGTTTTAAAAAAAACGCTAAGGACAAACCGAAGAAATTTTAACCAAAAGGCCCCCAATAAATAAATCCCCCAATAATTTATTTTTTTGGCAAATTATATGTCATTTTTTTTCTTCTTTCTCACATCCCCATAAATTATTGATGTTTTGTAATAAGTAATAAATTTTGTCTTTTTTGTCGTATAAAATCATCGAATAATTTTATATATAAAAACAATTTTTTTTTATAAATCACAAATTAGCTGCATTTAAAAAAAAAATGTTGTTTGTAATATTAAACATTAGAATATGTGTATTATTAACATTTAAAATCTTATGCACCAAAACAAACGTATAAAATCAAAATCTTTAGAAATTCATAAAATTATGAATGAATAAGATATATATGAGGGTTTTTAACTAAACTTTTTTTTAAAACAAATAGATCTCTTATTTTATTTCTTAATGTAATTTTTTTTTATAAGAAAAGGGTTAGTGCCATCATAAAGAAAACCTTTTTTAACCCAACCCCCTCTTCGGGAAGATTAGTTTTAATTTAAAAAATCATATATATTTCTCCTTATTTTTAGAAAAATATAGTACCAATTCAAGAGTAACTTAACAACCTCTAAATTACACTCTTTTTTTTTATCTTAAATAAATATTTTATACCACCAAAAAATATATTAATATATTCTTAAAAAAAAATACGTTTTAAAAATAAAATATAAAAAATATAACATGTAATTTTATATTATAACATTATTATAAGTGTATATATATTTTTTTTTATTAATCGGCTTTTGAATGTTCTTTTAAAATGATTATTCTTTTTAAAATTACGAAACGTAATCGTTATTATTGTAACAAACAATGTATACTCTTTGTACCCGTTTATTTTAAGAAAAAAAATTTTTTATTTTTGATTTAATTTGATGTGTACTAGTAAAAAAAATATAATAAGTAATACTATTTATAGTAATTTGTTTTATTTTGATTGTGTCAGAAGTAATTTTAGATCGTGTTCAGACCGCAATATTGACTGCTAGGATATTAATATGCCTTTCATTGTTTCTTCCACGCCTGATTTCTCCAAAGGTGTTAATAAAAAATACTCATTTGTTATCAGATATAAATTTTCCCTAGATTATTAGCCCAATTTATCAATTCCTTTTCGTCTTGCTCCCTTTTCTAAAGGAGTTAGAAAGATTACATTCGATAGAAGTCTTCCAATAATCGGCATCTACATAATGGAGCATAATGTGGAAGTCACATTTCTGGGACATAACACTTCTTTAGCCTATCATTTATAATTCGCTTTCCACTTTTTTTAGAAATAATTTACCCCCCTTCCTTCCACCGCAAATAAATGCCTTCTGAATTCTCGATTGATTTAACCGATATATATTATATTCATTCTTTTGTTCTTATAAATTTTACAACTCCGTATTAATTATGCTTGGGTTTTCAAATGAGAAAGATTATGCAATAAGTTATTTAAATTAAAAATCAACATTGGTTGGCAACTTGTCCCTGGTAAATTTTGAAAAGTTTTATCTAGCTTGTAATCGTTTTTGCTATGCCTGGCTCGTTAAATGATTTTAAACAGGTTTCACGCCAGTCAACACTATTTTATGACATAAAACTAAATAAATTTGCTTAATTAACAACTTTAAACAAATTTTGAAGTATTTTCCTTGTAGCCGCCATTATAACTATAAAAAAATGTAGATAGATACGACTTAAAATTCAAGTATATATTGAGAAATAGTTTTTATATTAATATTATGCCATCTAATGGAATTTATTAAATTACATTTTATGGAAATTTATCTAAAATAAAAGCAGGTTGCGTTTACATTCACTTCCCCCCCCCCCCCCAAAAAAAAAAAATTAAAAAATATTTTATAAGTTTTTAGATTCTGTTCTAGATCAGCTTAATATAGACACTTGATTGCTTTTTTTAGTATAGGTTTAAAAGTTTTGAACCAGCACCCCAATTTTGATTTTTTTTAAGTAAGTATGTCTTTCTTAAATTAAGTATATCTTAAATGCCAGAAAAATCAATTTTAAATTTGTCTTAATTGTTTATAATTTTTCTTCTACATCTAAATAGTGAAAAATTTGAATAATAAAATAAGGTAATTATAAAAATTCTGCTTAGTGATAAGAAATAAGTAAATTTCTATGCTCAAATTTACATAATTTGTGTTTATTTTAGTATAATTAGGCTCTACATTAACCACATCCTGATATTGTAAGTAGATTACCACAAATCTAATTTAATTACATATATATATACAAATTAAAACTCCCTTATTTTAAATAGCTACCAAATTTTTTCTTTTTTTTTCAAAAAGAATCTGTACAATTTTTTTAAATTTTTATTAGCAGGGCTGAGAATCAAAACTCTCGATATTTAGCTGAACCCTTTTCCTAAAATTTAGGGTTCAAGATTTCAAGCTTTTTTTAAAAAATTGTGGAAGTCTTAATGACGATATTTTAGAAGATATTATATGATAATTCTATTGAATAAATTTTTTTTAAAAATATATATAATATTTATTGTAGTATATTATATTATTATAATAAATTATTTTTATGGTAATACTAAGAAGATTTTTCTGTTTTGTAAGTCATTAAATATCCTGGTTCAAAACCCTGAACCCTTTCATTGAACTCAAACTCGAACCAATTTTTTAGAAGGAGGGTACACAGCCATGTTAGTTAGTGTTGTAAATGCTAATTAGATTTATTGGAAATATAATTTAGTAAAAAAAAAATCACTATTACTAGTTACTTTCACGCATAGACACTAATTAGTTGCATTTTTTTTCAAAAAAAATAATATAACTACTAAATTAACTCCTTACTATTCAAAGTTACTTATTAAATATATTTCATTCAGTTTTATTTATATGATATCCCAAATTAAAAATTACCATCAATTATATGCATTTCATTTATTTTTGGATAAAAGGTCTAATAAAATTTATATTACATACTTTTTATAATTAATATTATTTTTATTTATGTATCTTTCGGTACAAATAAATTTATTCTCATTTAGATGCTCTATTGGTTGGGAAAGAGTCAAAAAGACACTTTACTGACGTGACATGTCCATCTCAAATAATAATTTTTTTATACCGATGTTTTCTTGATAATAATATTGATTTATAATATTTCGCCCTCTATGGGGTGGTTGAGTACCTACTTAATTGTGGGACGTCTCATCAGTGTATGATAGGATAGGATAATATTCAATCAGATTTTAAAAAAAAATTTTTCATTTGTAAATTGAAAAAAAAGATAGACTTTAAACATAAAATCAACTTAAAATGGATATACCTTATCGTGTTCAGGCTCATAAGGTTAGAAGATATCAATAAAGAAAATTGAGCGTTGTTCAAATACTAAAAAAAATTGTATATTTCTTGTTTCACTTATCGTCTGCTTTTTGTAATTTAATATATTTTGGTTTGTGATAACTAAATAAACTCTTAATTGCTATAACTTTATTCTCACTGGCGTATTTAAATTGAAATAGAAGAAATAACTTTCATGGAAACAGGGAACGTCACTAGCCTTTACAATCTCGAAAAATTCATAATTGCTAGGTACAAGGGTACAAGTATATAACTTATTTGACTCGAATTAATTTTTGAATGTTGATGTTTCCATTGTTTTTATCGAATCGAATATTTAAATTTTTATTTTAAAAAAAATGAGATTTTTAAATGTTTGTTAGAATTTTGTTTGTTCAAATTTTCAATTTACAAATCTTTGGACCTTGCCGGTAAAATTTGATAGAATATTCCGAAAACATCGATAATCTCTCTCAATTAAATTATTTATATTACTGAGGTTGGTTCATAGATAGCACAAAGGTTTAGGCATCTATTAGCGAAATCTCAAGGTTTAGGATGAAATATATAACTAGACTGACGATTCATTCATTAAAAGTGTATATAAATGCAAATCAGCTGGAAACGCCATATTGGTCACACTAATCATTATTAAAATTTTAAACGAGAGCCTAATTCTAATGCAAACTTTATTAAAGAATTACCGGATCATCGAGATAATAAGGAAGCAAGTTATCCATTTAATAGTAGTTTTTAACATGAGAATAATTAATTAATGTATACCAAAATGGCGGGTCCAGCTGATTTGCTTTTAACGACGCTTAAAAATGCATTTTAATGATTGAATCGTCAGTCTAGGTATTATATATGTCATTGGGTTTAGGCAATATTTTTCTTGCTAAAATATTATGTTAATCGTTTTTAAAATCAACACCTCTGAATATAATTGAACAACGCTATGATATCTTCTTTTATCACTCCCAAAGATAATTTGTCCTTGATAGCTTGGATCTATAGCTATACCAGAGGCTGCTTCAAACACATTTTTATCACATCAGTCAATTTTTAAATTTTTTCATTTAAAATTTTAAAAAAAATACTCCCTTTGGAATATATTCAACTATTAATAATGTTGCTAAACGGCACAATTAAGATTTTAGCCAAAATAATATTATTCAAGCCTGGAGATTTCGCAGATAGAGGGCAAAAAGACTTGACCCTCTATTTGTCAATTTGAGGCTTGTGTGATATTATTTTGGCTGAAATATTACTCGGGCCATTTTTAAAAATAGACCCAAAGTTTAACAACACTATCTATTAGAAAATGCTGGTTTTGCTAGTAGTTTATGAATGGTTAAAAACATTACCCAGCTGTTATCTATCTCATATCAGATGAACAATTAATAGTTGCCCATAGGTCGCCGAATTGCATGTAACATATCTTTTAACAGCTTTGCAGATTTAGCTATGTGCCAAGGAGATACACCTTATTGATAGGTGTGATTTGATTTATGTAACTAATAAATGAATTGATGGGATTAATAATTAGTTGAATCTACATAGTTATATTTTCTATCATTTATTAAGATAACACATCCTAGTCCTCTAATAATGCAACCTCGTACCATTATATAATATGAAAACTTAACGGCTAGCAAATGAAAGAATTCTGCTTGTTAACTTAATTTCCCAATTTCATACTATCCCAGAATATGTATGAATTTTTGATTCGTTATTGCTAATTAAGTTCCCCATTATTTTTATCCAATTTGTCTATTTTAAAAGCTCAATTTGATCTTCGATTCATTCGCAATGCTTGTAAAAAATAATTTCGTCTTAGACTATATGAAATAGCTTGTGATAAACAATTTCTAATTTTTTTTTTTAAAACTTTATAGAAATAATATCCCACTTTTTAATCTTCGTTTGCAAGTAGCTACAAAATTATGTCTATAATCACCAAATTGACTCAGCAGATACTATTTTCGTTAGCTTTCGATGTCTTCTATTGAGTAGGTTTCAATATTTTTTTATATTTATGTTTTTTTATCTAGAGCTGTAAATTTTACCACAAAAATGAAACGAGTTACTCGCTAGGTTTGATGGAAGTAACGCTTTATTCGCGATTTAAAAAAAAGTGCTTCTATACTTAAGAAACACTAATATTATATATAAATTTCTTTTAAAATGTTATATTATAGGAAGTTCTTTTTTTAATAATTTTTTATTTATTTTTAACAACAATTGATTGAAAATTTTGATCAGATCTTGATATTCCTACTTGTGTAAAAAAAATATATAAAGGTGGCAGGATAGAGTTAAATCATCTTCGTCTGGGGAAATAGACTATATTGACATATATTATTTATAAAATAATTTATAATATTATGGAATATAAAATAACTTCGGTCTCGAATTGGAGTGCTACATGTAAAATTTATAAGCATAAATTATGAAAATAGTTCCAAAATTGACTGTGATATAACGTGGCTCAAAAATTAATATCTCTAGATTTCGATTATATATATCTAGACCTTTGTTCCTTCTATGAGCAAAATCTTCAGGTTTGCGTAATAGTTTTCTGGAGGAAATATTGAGCTAACCGTTTTTAAAAATCGGCTTAAAACGAGCCTTTCAACAACACTACTCATATTTATTACTAATGTATTATTGAAAATAGTTTTTTTTTTAAAAAAGAATTTTTGTTGCGTTTTTATAGAGTATATTATTTACATTGTTAAACTTCTATCTTACTTTTTAAAATCTCATCAAAAACTACGCATTTACACTTGAATATCAACAATCAGATTGATAATTATTCCATATTTCAAAAAAAAATTATATTGAACATTATCGAAAAATACCGCATAATATTTTAAATATAATTTTTACGAAGAAATACTTATTCCAAACGAAACATAATTAATCTAAGGAATTACTTTCTCCGAGAGGAACTTAATAGTATCCGATTACTGGCTAGTAAACCGGTTTTGACAATCTTTCACTCAATTTTTTGTATGCAATGAATAATAACACGCTTTAACCACATTCTTTATAAACTAACATTAAATAGTCGCTATTTCGGAAGATATGCCACTAAATATCATAGAGCAACCATGTTTAACCAGAATGAAGGATCATAGTTCATAGAAACCGGAAAGGCCAAGAATTCGTTGTTCTATGGAGTCAGCGAATGCAACTCAATTAAGCTATTACTTCTACAAAAAACATATGAAATTTAATTTTGGAGAAGGGGTTAGAAGTAAAAACTACATAACCTACTACACTAGATCGAAAATACGACACTAGAAGTTATTTGAGATCAGAAATATAGACTCACGAAGGGCTGAATTTCTTGCACAACTGATATTTATTCGATACTAAGGTAAATTTATAGATGACATAAATATAAGTGTCCTCAATAAGAAGGGTGAGTGCTTGATTAAGAGAGTTGTAGAAACGATTACCCGGTAAAATAGTTTTAAAAAATGTGTCAACGACACTGAAACTGATTCAAATAAAAGTGTGGAAGGAAGAGCGATATTTATTATAAAGGAGACATATCTTAGCAGAAGGGACAATATAATTATGAGTGGTTTTGGAACCATAAGAAGCTTTCAAGAATTAGTAATATTCGGGAAAGTAAGTTTTAAAAAAAGAAGGAAAGAGATTTTCCTTGTAGAGACTAAAAAAAATAAATTTGAATTTAATTTTCTTTTAAATTCATTAAGTCAAAAGAATTTAAATTCTAAGAAATATTATATTTGAAGAGTAGTTGATTTATTATCAGTTATAACGTGATTTAGAGCCCTGAAAATGCAATATTTTTCAGCCCCGCTCCATATGTACCTTATTTTTTTTAAAGCTCGAATCATGTCAAATTCATTATTTGTTCGTTCAAGCCTCCACAGGTATTGCTAAAAACCTCGGTTTAATTTTTTTCAAAGAGGCTACATCAAGATTTTATCTAATCAAATGTTATTTAAGCCACGGGTATGTAAAATAAAATATTGGCTTAAATATTTTACATTTTACCTTAAAAGTTTTACAAAATGTGATGATCATTTTTTATCATTAAAATTTTTTAATTTTTGCGCATTCAAATCAAACTTTTGAATATTTTAAATGGAGAATTTCACAATACCTTTAAAAAATTTTAATGGAAGATTCTGGACATGTTTCAAATCTCTCAAAACTCACGAAAGTTAAGGAATTTTTAAACTTTTAGGTAATTTTTTTCATTATTATTTAGGATACAGCCTAAGTTAACTTTTATTTTTCTTAATTTTATTAAAAATAGAAATTTAATGAATCTAATATTCATTTACCTAATTATTTAACATTTCATATTATATTTATTTTAATCAAAATATGATAAATTTAAAAATAAATTTTTATTTTTTTAAAAATAAATTAATAGGACGTAAACTTATTTATAAAATAACATATAAACTACTATGTTAAATTTTATCTCCATTTGCTTAAGGATCAAACTTTGGAATGATGTTTTATTCTAAAAAATAATTTTAACATGATTATAATATATAATAGAGATTTTAACATGATTATAATATATAATAAAGTTACCATTTTTGAATTAAAAAAAGTTAAAGGTGCAATTCACGTAAAAAAAAAATCGCTAATAATTTTTTTCGATAAAATAATTTTAAACAAAATTAAATTTAAAAAATATGCGCTCAAAAAGTTCGAATGAACTCTGAAAAAATAGCCCCAGACCCCCAATAACGTTTAAAATTTTATGGTCGTTTAAACATATTTTTTTGTTCAAATAAAGATTAATATTATATAGATTAGGGTTTAATCTTTTATATAAGATTGTCATTGGATAATTAAAAACCTTTATTATTTATTATTTTTGATATATTGCAGCATTAATGAAAGTTACTTTTAAGGGTTTTGAATAATATAATAAAGATTTTATCTGTAACCCGATATTTAAAAAAATTACTGCCGCAAATGCATATTGCAGTTATACACATTTGGTAAAAAAAAAATTAAACATTAGAGTTGCGTAATCTAGAAGTAAACCCCACAAGGCTCGCAAGTACATCGGACTCATAAGATCCCAGGTTTCCTCTACAAAACATTCACAAAACTCTATATATTGTATTAGAGGTATGTAGTGGTCCCACCAATAATTTTTTTAAAATTCACCTGACCGTTCGCCAATTTATCTTAAAATTTGGTTTAACCCGCCCACTTGCCCAATTTTAAAAATTATTTCGATGTTTGATTTAAAATTTCATTTTCTTTGGGGATTGGGCTAAATTTTCAATAATTTTAACACTGATTGGTTCAACATCTATTGTGTATTAAGAAGGATTAACACCAATTCAATCTATCTTCATCAGAGGTAGTAATTTTCATTAATGTTATTCGATGTGCGCGGGTTTTTAAAGAGAGCTAACTCATCGTTTTGTCAAGAAAAATATTACGCAATCCTTAAGATTTTGCTCGTGGATGGCACAAAGGTTTGAAGTTTAGGCAATATTTTTCTGGGTAAAATATCGAGTTAGCCATTTCTGAACATCTGAAATAAGCCGTTCAACAACTCTAGCTGGGCCACTAACATTAAATGTTAGCGCTTATAATATTTTGCTTAATATCACCGGCAAGGCTCTATATTTCAGTCACAAATTTAAGTAAAACCGCAGCTAATAAGATGGTTTCAGAAAAAAAAATGTCGACTAGATTACTTTAATATTTGTGCAATACTAGGCTTAAAGTTTGTATATTTTTTTTTTAAAAAATAACAATTGTTCTTTCATTATACAACTTTGCTACAAATAATAAATTATAAATCAGTGGTATATTAAAAATTTGGAAGCATTTGAATAAATAAAATATTATATCACAGAATTTAACTATTTATAATTATTGCCATATTTATAAAACATTATGTTATGTACAAAAATATACAAGACTAAGATTTAAAAAAAAAATTAGAATTTTTCTTTAAAGTTCTGTCTTTGGCTGGGCTTTATCTGTAATATTTACCTTTTCTTCCTCTCCATCATTAAGGCTTTTTCTCTGACTAGCTTCATCATCGTAGTTCACTTTTTCTTGCCCTGTCCAAACCTCAGATAGACATTCTAATTGTTTATATAAATGTTATTTGCGCATATAATGTTTAGTATATGTGTGAAAAATAATTAAGTTCCATGTTATAAAATAATTCAAATAATAATAAAGGCTGTAACCGATACAATTTTTTTTTTAATTGCTCCAATATTTACATCAATTTTTGAAGCAATGTAGTAAAAAGTAAATTCCAAGCAAAATAAAATAATTGTAAACTCAAAGTTTTATGTTTCACCCGACTAAGGCATACATTGTGAATTATCATGATAGAATAAGTGTATTGTGTATTAGGTTTCTTTTATTCCCCAAAAGTTAATCATCTCATTTAAAATTATTATTCTTTAATTTTTAAATAACAAATGCTTAAAAAGAATATTCTATCAAAATATAATATAAGAAATGATAAAACGACGAAATTTCTATTTCTCACTAACCAATCATAAAATATCGAAAAACAATAATATAGATAATTTTTTTAAAAAAATGTCGGTCCGATCTGATGCCTAAAAAGTGGCGAGTATCAGATCCAATATAAAATATCGGCACAGCCCCAAAATAATATGTAAATTTTATACATTTATGTCAGAGATAAGCAACAATTTGTTTTTTAATTAAAAAAAACGATTGATTTAACCTTGTTCGTCATTGACCAATATATGCTCTTTGCATAAGTAATCAAGAATGGGCAAGCTGTTATGATGGTAATACCAATCCTCGATCACATCTTCATACGTCTCCATAAAATAATCGCACTATAAATGTATAAACAATAATATTATTGAAAGCTTCTTCAATTCAGTTTCAGTTAAAAAAATCAATACGCTTCAAATGATTTAAATTTAATTGGCTTTTCAGATTTTCAAGGTTAAAAATTGTAAAGAGAAATTGAGCAAAAATCGAAAATTAGCGAAAAAACAGAAATTCAATCCATAGTATAATTTTTTTTAGTAAATATGAGAATTCAATACAAAATTATTTTTTGGAGAACAGTTGGCACAATTTGCAAGGATATGTTTTTTGTTTTATTATTTTGCCAATTAGAGGTGGGCGCAGGCCACGAAAATCCACGTGACCCACCAGGTCACGCCGTGAGTGTAAATAAATTTTGAATTTCGAAAAATAATTAGGCGTTACGGGCTTTTTCCAAAAAAAAAACCACGAGGAGTAATTACAAATTTTGCGTGAAAAACGGAAAATTTAAAAAAAAATAATATCTTTAAAAACCTGACATATTTCCTCATACATCCTGTAACTAGTGGCGTTGTTAAAAAAACCCGATTAATAAAAAACGGCCCGATTAAGGTTATAACCAAAATAAATTTGGGTAAGCCTCATGATTTTGCTCATAGATGGAAGAAAGGTATGGACCTTTTATTTGCCAAATCTTGAAGCTTACACAATATTATTTTGGATTTAAATTGACCCAAATCAGACTTTTTAAGAACACATAACAAGATTTTTTTCCAAATCCAAAAGGGAGTTTTTTTTTTAAAAAAAAACTATCATAATTTTTTAAAATTTCTAACATTTCTTTATTTGATAGAATAAGCTTATTTCATTATTTGTTTTAAATTTTATCAATTTTTGAAACTTCTTAATTAACCAATAAAATGTGCCAGTCTCAGCCAGTTCCGTTCAAAGTAAAAAAAATATTATTTTCGATAGCCAAAAATTGTTCACTAAAGGAAAGACAAAACGCGATAAAAATTAAAATGAATATTTGTATTTTTCACATTTTAAAGATCTTGATTTATAAATGTAGCTTGATTAGTGAATTAATTCTTAATTAGCAAGAAGATGTATAAAGAGGATCTTATTTCAGGCAAAATTATGGAAATAAATAAAGCAGAAAGCAAGAAGATGTATAAAGAGGATCTTATTTCAGGCAAAATTATGGAAATAAATAAAGCAGAATTATAATATTTTTAAAAATAATCCATGGCTCTTTGAACATGATAAAAATTTTATTTTTCATGAGTGGGCAGGGGGCATAAAAAAATTAAGCATCCAACATGAAAGGGTGTAAATTAATTAGTGTAAGTGTAAAATAATTAGACCCACACCCAATACCCCTGTCATAGGCCTAATCAAAAACAAATTGCTATTCATATTTATATGAATGATAAAATTTACCATTCATGTTCTGATTGGTATGATAATGAATAGAATATTCAATTATTTAATATGTTTAAAAGATTTGAATATATCATTCATTATTTAATTTGTTTTTAATTAAGCCAATTGATACAGATAGGCATCAGGTTGACATCAATATTTATATATAAAAAATTACTGTAAAACATAAACACTTAACCATACAAAAAAATAAAAATATCAGTGGCCAGTCAAATTGTTCAAAATATTTTTATGGGGTAAGCCAAGCTGAAGTTTTGAAATTAGTTTCAAAGCTTCTTGTATTTACTGGCTGTATAGGTTAAAAATAATTGTGAGACTGGCTAAAAACCCCTATAAGACTAGAGACGCCCCAGGTTTAAAACCTACTGTGTATAATCTTTAATTCTTATTGGAATATAAAATGATAATTTTTATGAAAATGCATTTCGTTTTTAAAAAATATTTATGACTATTAAATTTCTAACATATTTACTTTTGCAATATTTAAACATTAAAGTTAAAGCTTATTTAATTGCTTTCCTTTTTAAGTCCAATATTTTATAAATCTTTGTTAAAACTCTTTTGTTGCATATATAATAATAAAATATTTCATGTAGCTTGGTCACAAACCTTTATTTTATAGCATAGTCCCAAGATAAAATATATGGGTTTATAATATATGTAGAATAAAATAACTATTTAAATAAATAATGAACCTTGTCTTAGAAATAATCTTAAATATTTAGGACAAGAATTAAAATTTCAATAATTAATAATATATCCAGTTTAGAAATTTCAACTTAAAAATAAATATGAATAATTTTTAAATTAAATAAAAAATTTTATAAATATTTGGGCATATGTTATAAAAAAACGATTTTTTTCAGTCCGTGTAAGTTCTTATAGAAATTTCCTAATTAAACAAATAATTTTTTTTACTTTTCTTTTCATGTCTGTTATTTCAGCTGAAGGAGAATCCCATAATTGTTCTGGAATTCCAAGTTCAACTTTAACACCTCTATCTCTTGATTTATTTATTATATATTAAATATTAAGGTGGTTATAAATTTAATATTTCAATTCATAAAAAAAAGGTCTACTAATAATAATTACTTTAATCCATGCAGAGTTGACATAGTCTCACTTCTTCCTTTGGCATACCTCCTACTACCCAATCTTTCCTTATGAACATTATATTCTAATATGTGTTCACATAGTTTTTCTGTTATTTCTATGTATCTTAATTCCCTAAATACAAATTATATGCTATCTAAATTAATGTTTATTACGATGTTTCATATTTCTTGACTCTATATGCAGACTCATCCATTAAGCTTGAACCTATCTTCAATGTTTCCTTAGATTTACCAGTTAAATCAATTCTCTTCTGCAATTCAGCTGCCATATACTTGCACACTAAAATACCTTAGAAAGATGTCATTATTAAATAATCACCTTCACACTTGTTAGGTTCCTTAACACCTCGTTCATTTTCGACGGATTTTTGGCTACTCGTAAATATCAATGGAAAAGAGCTTATTAGGATCAAAATATAGGTTATTTCTCTGTTAAAATATTTTTCTCTAAGCATTTATAAAAAAATCATTTATTTCGAAATAACCGAACCCAATATTTTGAAATAGAATCACATGTGTTTATTTTTTGTATACTTATTCATTGTCACTGATTGAAAAATAGTAATAAGAATATTTTTTTAATTATCTGAAAGAAAAGGCTTCTAGCACTAGGTAAAGTGTAAATAAAGGGAGATACAATTTAGTAAGATATAGAAAACATTTAATATCAATCAATATGATTTAATTGTTACCTAAACTGTATGTTAATTAAAAGGAACCTCAAAGCTGTTTTTCGTTTACTTTATGTTAGCTTAGATCTTTTTTTCTATTTTTCATGCAAGTTGTCTTAAATTGTTTGTTCAATGCTTCCGATAGAGCTAACGAAAAGAAAAAACTTTTAGGCGTAGAAAAATAAAATGAAAAAACAAATGGACAAGGATCGTATCATATGATGCCAGAAATATCTGAATAAAAACAAGATACCTTTATCTATATCAGTGACTTCGCTGGAGGGGGGGAGCAGGGGCTCGAGCCCCCTGAAAAATTTGAATATCCCTCTGAAGCAAAAAATTTTTTTTTTACTTTGAACTAAATATAAATTTTTTTTGATAGCTCACTGAATGATTTCTTTTATAATTGCATTAAGTAATATATTGATTTGATTTTATTATTTAGAAATTAATAAGTCTATTTAAATTTTATTAAATGAATACTATTTTAATTATTAGATAAGATTAATACATATAAATTAGATTTTCACTATGTCAGCTTGCAATCAAATTCCGTATTAAAAATGTAATATCAATAACTCACTAAATATTAATTTAGCTTTAACAGTTGAGGTTTAACTGACTTTTATTATTTAAAATATTGTATAACCCTAATTAAATAAATATAATCATATTATTTGAAAATTAACAATTTTAATATTGTAATTAGCCGAGTTCAAAATGACTAATCAACTGTATATTTATTTTTAAATTTTATTTTATCATACCTATTCCTAAAAATATTTTCAAGGTCCAAATATAAGTATAAGAGATTTCTTTATAAAAAGTAAATAAATAGATATATAGTTTATAATCTTCTATTATATAAAGTTAGTTATAAAATATTAGATAAAATGCCACTTTTATAGACGTATTTTACAGTTATATAATATATTACAGTTAATATTATAATAAATTTTACTAATAAATGGTTTTGATAACAAATATGGTAATAATTTGCACCCAAGTAATGCCATCTATTTAGTTATAAATAATTTTAAAACTAAACAGATTATTATTTATCCTGCAATAGATGTAATAAATTTGATATCTTTTCTTCTCTTTTTTACGTGTTTTAGGAAATCTATATTTTTCTTTTTCGAAACAGTTTCGAGTTAAATTTTTAATTCAAGTATATCTTTGATAATATTACAAACTACTATTATTTAATATACCTAGGTGGTGCGACAATATATAAAATAATAATTGTTTCATCATATCATTCTGGTCCTTATTTTATAGTTAGAAAATGTTTCATTTCTAATATGGAATTGCCGTGTAAATAACTCTAGGCTTCAATATATTTGCATAATTATTTCTTCCAAATATTTTTTAGTGTTTTTATTTTATCAATTTATCCAACATAATAAATTCTGATATAAGTTTACATCTTGAGTGTCATGGCTCAGTATCTATTATTTGTGTTTCTATGTAATTTAAGATTATTACAACAACGGCTGAGAACATATGATTGCATATTTTAGATAAACAATAATGGTCAACTGTGTAGTCGTTTATATATCATTTAAAATGGAAGATAATCTTTAAGAAATTTAATATCTCACGCATTTAAAATGGAAGATAATCTTTAAGAAATTATATCTCACGATAATTTTCTCCATTACTTACTAGCTTCCATCATGCCATCTAAAAGGAAGCTCTAACCACTTAATAGTTCGATTATTTGGATTTGTCGTTTATACTCTCTTCTTCATGAATTGTTGATTTGGTTTAGGCCTATAAATTTTTCCTTATTAGTCCATTCTATAAATGTGGAAAATGGTAATAGAGTTATATTAATTTGATAACCTTTTGTCAATGTAAGTTGCTAAGAATTATATCATTGCATTATGTGGTTTTTAAAAACTATTATCAATTGAGGCATATGTATGAATTAATTCATCTTTTTTATCACTTGTAATTCTATAGACGCAAATTTTTTTTATATCAGCAATCGAAAATATTTTATACTGTAATAAATAGATTTTGTATTAAAAAATTTTATTTTTAGAAATGTCTTGTATTGTTTTAATTATTTATATGCCAGTTTATTTTATATGCATAAATAATAAATGACAAAATATGAAATTCAGAATAATTGTTCAGAGTTAACAAATTTTAAAAAAGTATAATATATTTATATAAAATCCAGCCGAAGGCCTGCAAATTAGGAGGTAAGGGGGGGAAGCGAAGCCTCCCATAAATTTATTTTTAGTTGAGCCCCCTGAGATTGTATAGGCTAGAAACGCCCCTGATCTATATAGATGTAATTAATTTTTAAATCATATTTCAAAATCCGATAGTAAAGCCTGGCCTAATTAAAACAGTTGTATATGAATTTTTCAGGGTCTTCACACAAAAGTTTTCGGGGGGGGGGGGAACTCTAATTTTTCCCCTCATATATATTGCATCAAATTTAAAATTATTGAAATACACAATTTGTTTTAGATTTTTATTGCACCAATCCTATTTCCTTATCTTACAATTAAATCAGCTGCTGAGATCTCAAAAACCAATAAATACATAAATTCATTAATCTTATATTTTTTCACTCCTCATCACACATCTTGTTAACTCTCACGACGTTCGGTAAAAAGGTCCTTAAATTGAATCGTATATCCTTTAAATCGTATGAACCTGGAGAAGTATCTCTCAAATTATTTAAGCGTTATCTTTTCCCTGATTTGAAGGTTCATGAATAATATATGAATTAACGTTTTTATAAAATTTTATAATGGCGTTTTTACTAGTGCTGTAAATATTTCTAAAATATTGAATGACAAAAATTGAACATGTTGCATTGACTTTAAATTTTATGATAATTTTTTTTAATTTAATATAAATAAATGTCTTATAATTTTACACAATATATTAGCTACGTTAAAAAATAATTTTTACTTTGATAATATAATTATAAATACACAGGGCGGACTGGCGACGCTACGGCCTCAAGGGAATTTTTTTTATAGCGGCCTCATTTTTATGGGGTTGCCCCATAAGCGTATCCAGAATTTTCCTAAGGGGGGGGGGAATTAAAAATTAGTGGGGGCTTCGACCCCAGACCCCCTTTTGGGCGGGCCTTCGGCGCGCTATTGCCTGGCCTTCGGCCGGGTTACCTTAGTCTATATATAGTCATAAAATATTTTTACAAGATAGGAGGTTAATTTTAATAAAAAAAATAAGCCTGGATGCATTAATATTAAAGCATGGTAATAATTTATTCCAAACAAGTATAATAAATTTATTTAGAAAAAGTAAGTAGGCATATAGTTGATATTCCTCTATTATATAGAATTAGTTACAAAATACTAGGTAAAATTCCAATTTTACAGACATATTAGACAGTTAAAGAATATATTGCAGTTATTTACTAATCAATGCTCTTGATAATAAATATATATAGCAACAATTTGCATTCAATTATTTAACGCCATCTATTTATTTTAAATAAAATATTAAAATTAATCTTTATATTATTTTTAAAAGATATTTTCTGATGTCCTTATCAATATTTTATAGTTTTCTGTAAAATATATAATTCGCTATATTGATAAAAATACTTGATTGTCATATTATGATTGATAAAATTAGATATATGACATATAATATTCCACTGTTTGTATTGACCTTTAATTTTTTATTTAATTTATGATTTAATTTTATCAATAGTTTTATAATTATATTTTACTTTTATTAAGATAAATAAATTAAAATTACTCACTTTATAAAAAATTATATTTGATATATTAATATTCCTCAAGATTAATATTTGCTTGCACCTGACTTGGGAATATCTTTTACAAATTATTATGGGCCGGGCTAGGAAAAAATTTTCAAAATTATTATGGGTTGAGCTAGGCTTGAGAAATTTTTTAAAAATTATAAGGTCTTAGACGCTTAGAAATTTTTTCCAAATATTATGAGCTTGGACCTAGCTTAAAACTTTTTAATGTAAAATGTTAGTCTTATGTAATCAGTAATATATTTACAAAAAATTTTGATATTGGGTAAATGCTCATTTAAATATATTTTGACTCAAAAAATAGTTTCCACTCTTCCTAATGGGTTGGAATCAATGACATTGGTTGGACTTGACCTAAATGGGGAGGGGGAGGGGTTTAAAAATAATATAAATTGGATTTTTTTAAATAAAAGGTAACATCTTTCTTAAAAAACGAATAAAATTCTCATTCTCCGTCTATTTTGACGGGCTATCTACTAATATTATATTATTTAGTAATTTTATGGATCTATTATTAATAATTTTAATACATTTCACTTTTGTCTTAAGACTTATCTTATATATTCCATTTCTTAAAAAGATTTTTGGTTCACTTTTTTTTATATAATAAATGCTTTTCCAAAAATCTTATAAATTATAAATATTTTTATAAAAAAATATTAACTTTTACATTCTTTCTTTCAAATTATTGTTTAAGTTATATGCATACAATTTAGGGGGTCAGGGAGGGAGGGGAAGGACTAAGGGGGATATTTATTATTAGCTTAAAATGATATTGACAAAAAGTGATGAATTTCTGAAGGGGGGATTTCCCCTTCCCCCCCCCCCCCGGCTACTCCTATGGGTTGCTCCAAATTCTCTCTTATTTTGCGGGTCTTCGGCCAGGTTCCCATAAATGGCTTCTTATAATTACATGATTTTTATTACGTCACGATTTACATTTTTAATAAAAATAGAAAAGTATAATACGATAATCATACTTTTATTTAAAAAAATTGCACATCTAAAATTATTCATTGCACTTCTAAAAAATATTCAATGTACATATATAATTTATATTAGAT